CACCGGCTTCTCCCGGAATCAGAGGTTGTGGTGAGCCCATAGGGAGGTTACCCTGCACAGAAGACTGTCCTGGAGATCTGTTCATCAATGGGGGTTGTGGTCGGTTCAGCCTCAAAATGGCTAAGACCTCCTCTCTGAAATTTCCCAGCTGATTATTGAGTTGCTCCGAGTTAGTAGCGTTGGACTGTGCCTGAGCTTCCACCATTCCCTTGAGCTCAGCTATCTGTCCTTCCACCCTCTTCATGCGGTCTTCCATGATCGTGAGCTCTGATACCAACTGTTATGGCCTTATCCGCACAACACACAGCAACAGTAAGAAAAGAAGAGAGATAGGGTTTAGAAGAAGAAGGAGAGATGAAGAAAAAGGAATATTTGATTAAACATTGCGTAAAAACCCCAGTCATCCGTTCTACCATATATAAGCCATGATCTACTACAGCTAATCCCATGAATTCCTAACCGAATCCACAGCTGGAATTGATAACTGAAAGAAAAGAAAAGGAATAATCTAAACAGAAATCAGTAATTGGCTTTGAGTCAAACGACGTCGCTTGAAATAATCCATAACCGTCTTGCTTTTGAAACGACGCCGTCGGATACCTTCAACCAACTTCAACTTCCTCCAGTCCAACGACGTCGTTTGGTGTCTGTTCTTGATTTCCAACCTTAGTCCCCTTCTTCCTAGCTTTCCTTCGTTTATTTCTCCCAGTAAGGGCTGTTACAGATAGCCGAACCACAAAAATCTTGTCTTTTTCATTTGTGCAATTATTGTTCGATTCTTGTTCTGGTTTATCTCAATAATTATACTTCGTTTAATTTGCTAGTTTATGTCTTACAGGCGACGCCTTGAATGCTTTGAAGACCAATTTGGATGATCCTAACAATGTTCTGCAGAGCTGGGATTCAACCCTTGTTAATCCCTGCACTTGGTTTCATGTTACATGCAGTCCAGACAACAGTGTTACTACAGTGTAGGCTGCTCTTATCATCAATTTGGTTCTCAGTTTCTGCTTTGGTGTGATTGCTAATAGTCATTTTCGGTTATTGCTTGCTTCTAGTGATCTGGGAAATGCGAATTTGACGGGGCAACTGGTTCCACAGCTTGGTCTGCTTTCAAATTTGCAGTACTTGTGAGTTCTTCTTTTGTGTGTTGATGAAGATTGATGCTGATGATGTTAAACGGATTGCTTAAACTTGGGAAATTTTTACATGATTTTTTTTTTTTTTTTTCGTGGGGATTGGGAATGTGTAAGTTCAAGTGTAAATGTTGTTTCTTCTGCAGATTTTCGTGCTAAATTGCTTCTACTGTGTTATATTTGCAGGGAACTTTACAGCAATAATATAAGTGGAATAATTCCTAACGAACTCGGGAACTTAACAAACTTGGTCAGCTTGGATCTTTACATGAACCACTTGAGTGGTCCCATCCCCGACTCTTTGGGCAAGCTTCAGAAACTGCGTTTTCTGTATGGTTTGCAGTGCATAAAAAGTTGAACTTGAAATCTTCTGATGTTGCCGTAGACTAGACTATGAGTAGTGATCGATGTTTTAACTACCTAAAGAGAAAATGTGCACTGAGTAGTATGTTATTAGCTCAGTCCTGGCTCTGTGATTGTTTTGTGGGATCCTAATACCTTTTTTTCTTTCGGGAAATTATGAAGGAGGCTCAACAACAACACTTTGAATGGAGGTATTCCCATGTCTTTAACGACAGTTTTTACACTTCAAGTCCTGTAAGTATAAAATGGGTTAACTTTTCACGCCTCCAAGTTTTACTTCTCTATGGGAACTAATAGTGATCATCGTTCAAATGCAGTGATCTCTCATCTAACCGTTTGCAAGGACAAATCCCGGTGAATGGTTCCTTCTCACTTTTCACTCCTATCAGGTTAGTCTGGCGTATTCTTTTCCCCTCTCAATTTCACTATTCTTTGTTTCATAATTCTTGATGGCTAAGCTGCTATATTTCAGTTTTCAAAGTAATCCAGGATTGCGAGCTCCTCCGGTTTCCCCGCCTCCTCCATTTTATCCAACACCCTCTTCTGGTTTGTCAAAATCATTTCTCTTTTTTAGAACTGCTTTAAGTTTAGAATTTCGGTGGCCATTGTAACTCTCCCAAAGAGAAAGCATAAAATTTTATGAAAACTCGATTAATATTGAAGGAGGGAACAGTGAAACCGGGGCCATAGCAGGAGGAGTTGCTGCCGGTGCTGTTCTTCTGTTTGCAGGTCCTGCAATTTTGCTTGCTTGGTGGCGGCGAAGGAAACCTGAAGTCTACTTCTTTGATGTTCGCGGTTAGAACTTTAAATGCTATCAATGTAAAAAAAAATAAAATTGTTCATAATTCTAAGCGGTTATTTACTTATTTTACTGTGTTCTCTCTTGTTACTTATTTTGCAGCTGAAGAAGACCCCGAAGTTCATCTTGGACAGCTTAAGAAATTCTCCTTGCGCGAACTGCAAATTGCGACGGACAATTTCAGCAATAGCAATATCCTTGGAAGAGGTGGATTTGGTAAGGTTTACAAAGGGCGTTTGGGTGATGGCTCTTTAGTTGCAGTTAAGCGACAAAAAGAGGAACGCACTCAAGGCGGGGAGATGCAGTTCCAGACCGAGGTTGATATGATCAGTATGGCGGTGCATAGAAACATTCTCCGTTTACTTGGCTTTTGCATGACACCAACAGAGCGGATGCTTGTTTACCCGTACATGGCAAATGGAAGCGTTGCATCACGCTTAAGAGGTACTTCTTCTCGTTCCCGAATATTCTCTATTTCTGTAGTTAGTATACATGGAACACACTAAGAATTTTTTTCATTATCGGGATACAGACAACGATATCCTCTAAATGAATCTCGGTACTCAAGAAAGACAGACGGATCAGAACGAAACTCTATTTTAATTTGCATAATGAACTATTTTTGAATTATGAACTCTTTTTTTTCTACTAAATTTAGTTCAAGTTCTTGCTAGAGAATAGAAGCCTTTTATAGTTTAGCTTAATATTGGGAAGTTGTGTTGTTCATGTCGTTGTAGAGCGACGAGACACGGATACACCACTCGATTGGGCAAAGAGGAAGTACATTTCTCTTGGAGCTGCAAAAGGACTGGCGTATTTGCACGACCATTGTGACCCGAAGATTATTCATCATGATGTGAAAGCTGCGAATATCTTGCTGGACGAGGAGTATGAAGCCGTGGTGGGTGACTTTGGGCTCGCGAGGTTCGTGGATTACAAGGACACTCAGGTACCCACCGCTGTTTGCGGTACAATCGGGCACATAGCTCCTGAATATCTCTCAACAGGTAAATTCTCAGAGAAAACAGATGTGTTCGGGTATGGAGTTATGCTTCTGGAGATCATAACCGGGCAGAGGGCCTTTGATCTTGCCCGCCTTGCCAAAGATGATGATTTCAAGCTGCTCGACTGGGTAAGCAAGCGTTTACCAGAAAAGTTTTAGCTGAGACGGAACACATGTCTGCAGAACTAACTTTTCCCCGAGAATTTCAGGTGAAACAGCTGCTAAAGGACAAGAAATATGAGACATTTGTGGATATAGATCTTCAAGGAGACTTTGTTGAAGAGGAAGTGGAGCAGCTAATCCAGGTAGCTCTACTCTGCACACGATACTCGCGGTTCAACCGTCCCAAGATGTCTGAAGTTGTGCGGATGCTAGATGGCGACGGCCTGGCTGAGAAGTGGGAGGAGTGGCAGAAGGAAGAAACTTTCCGGGCAGATCTCCTCCACACCCACCACCACAATCCTAACACCGAATGGATCATCGTCGATTCCACTTCAAATATCCGGCCAGACGAGCTGTCTGGCTCGAGATGATGAACCTCCCTTCCTTCTTCCATCACCAAACATGCATTCATCATATTCAACCGAGTTTTTTCCACTTTTGGTCCCACACCTATAGAACAATCCCCGCATTTGGTACTATTAACTGAAGAGTCATAACCCCGAATGGGTGCAATATTTTTGGAGGACTCTGAAATGTCGTTGCATGGTTAGTGGATACCAACTAAGGAAAATCGTCTTTGGGGAGTGCATTTCTCTCTCATAAATAGTCGGTGTCGACCAGGACGTTTTTAATACTCCGTATTTGGGCTGTATTTGGAATTATGTATTTCGGCTTCATTTAATATATTCACTCTTTGTATTTCTTCTCCCAGTCTTATTTATATTCGCTAAGTAGGAATGTCACCATTTTATCTTCAATAGGAGTCCGTGTCAAACTTTGTGTCATAGAATGTTTGATAAGGACTCAGTAGGAATGTCACCATTCCGTCAACCTGTGCACCACCGTTCACTGCCGTCGAAAACCCAGCCGTAACCGAAAACACCGCCGGATTCCGTCAACAAGTACACCAATGCAGTCTGCTATCGAAAACCCACCGGCAACCAAAACCACCGCGCCAGATTCCGCCACCAGCGCCGCCAAATGCTCCAGAAGCTTTCAAGAACCGCCGCTCAAAACTATTCACGCTCCAGGGACCACAAATCTTTGTTTTTGCTATTATTCTATTTTGGGTGGGACCATAGAAGTTTCCTAGGATAATTATCCTAGAGTCGGACTCCACCAACACGCTTTTCCTTGCTTCAAAACATATTTTCATGCATAGACTTTATCGTATCCACTTACCATATTATGCACCCTCGGTAAAACCATCCGGACTCACACCTATAGAACAATCCCCGCATTTGGTACTATTAATGGAATCTAATTTCAGGTCATGATTATGTTTCAGGTGGTGACTTGTCTTAAAGGGTAAAATTATCATTTTAATTATTATTTTCTAAACTTTTCGAGGAGAATGACTGGAAATGACAATTTTGCTTTTCAAGATAAGTCAGTTTCTTGAAATTTAGTCACTAGTGACAAAAAATTAGGTTACATAGACTAAATCTGAAACAAAATATGAAAAAATTAATAGTCAATGACCAAATGTGAACTAGAAGTGTAAAAACTCTATTCAACCCAAGAAATGTATGTTTTGAGATTTTCAAATTTCTGCAGAATTCATTACACAAAGTAGCCTTACATGATCAACAGCCATTGTCCATTGTTATTGAAATGATTAAAACCCAGACTTTAAGGTTGAATTTTGCAGAAATCTATGACGTCAGACTCGGTCTTGTTTGAAGCGTAATGTTGAAGAAACTCCTTGTACCGAACAGGCCAGAACACCGGCGCCGCTCCCGCGGCGGCGGCGTTCACCACCGCCGCGGCAGGCTCCACCACAGCGTCAAGGGAAGGTCCGATGAACGTCCCGATTGATACGCGAGCAGCGCTCGAATTTGTCACCACACGATGCTTACAACCTTTCAGCTCATCATTACTGATAATCTGCAACAAATATTTTCATAATCACAAGACTAAAAGTGAAAAAACTCAAAAAATTCATGTTTTTAATCTCTTATTACCTGTAACTGAGAAGACACGATGACAGTAAGCGCACGAGGAGGGTCGACGCCAAGCCATTCGCCATTGTTGAAGATAAGACCGAAGAGTTGGCCTAATTACACTTTGGTGTGCAGTTGACCCTTATTCCTTTAAACTTTGATAATTAAAATGAAAATAAAGGAAATAAAATAGAATATATAGAGGAGGAGAAAACCATAATAATACTTGATTGCATGCATGTTAAGGATTCAAAATATATTCTATTTTCACTTCTATTAATATTTGGGCCGACCATAGTTGAGAGCCCCCCAAAATCGCAGTCACATAGTAATCTACCAATCGTTATATCCTACACCACGGCGCACATAGTACTGTTCGCCGCGCGCCTCCCAAAACGACGTCGTTTTGGGTAGTGTTGGGAGGCGCGTAGAAAGTTGCTGAGATTATGTGTATTTGTTCACAACGTTATGTGTATTTGTTCACAACGTTATGTATATTGGTTCATACAGTTATGTGTATTTTTTATACAATTATGTACATTCTTTTTATACAATTATGTACATCCGAATCATAAAATTTGTGTGTATTATGTTAAGAGTTGATGTGTATTATGTTAAAAGTTTATGTTTATTATGTATTATGTTAGATTATGTGTATTATCTTTTAAAAAGAGTATGTATATTTTGTTATATAATTATGTACATTCATGTATAACATTATGTGTATTCTAGTATAACATTATGTACATTCTTAAACAGCGGGTTTTTTTTTTTTAAAGAAAAAACTACTGCCATTCACTGGGGCGGGAAATTTCAAAAAAAAAAAATAAATAAATTAAAACGACGTCGTTTTGCATCTGGGCGCATAGTGCAACGCGCGCCGTGGTGTAGGATATAAATTGCCGTAATCTACTACCACATGTTGTACTGCATCTATTAACAATATATTCATCGATATAAAATTACACATTTCCTACTAAATACACTCCATCTACCAAAAAATACACTCCATCCATATTCTATGATCTTAGCGTTGCATTTAATATAATCATTGACTCATATCTTACTTAAAACCAATTGATGATAAGTAGGTGAACATTAAACATTTAACCACACTCCTCCATGATAAGCAGGGACTGAACTCGGCCAACTGGCCGACGCCCAACACTATACATTTACAATACTGATCGAATTCAGTTTTGAGTCGCAATTATAAGAACTATAGTGGAACACATGTTTGTTGCATGTCAGGACATTTTGCTGCTCATCAATTTGTTATGTACGAGAATGACATGCATATGTTTTAGCCGTTCGAAATTTACCATACTTAATAATGCAACCCATCCATCTTCCTTAAAAAGAACTCATTTACTTCAACTGGAATGGCATTGATTCTGGGCAAAATATATTTTATAAATTTAAATCACTAACTTAAGGCACATTACCGCTTTTAGCTTGTTCGGTAGAAGGGTGGAGGAAATAAATTGTGGAATGTGTTGATTCAAACCATACACAATAAGGTTACTAGCTAGCAAAACAATATTCCTTATAAAATTATTTTGGGTTGGTTGAATTGTGAATCAGGAGCTTGACAATGAGCAGGGTTCCTTATATCATGGATCAGGGTCCATAGTGCACTGTGGACCCTGGTGCATGTGCATTTGTTTTATTTTGTGAGTCTTTTTTTTGTGTTGTGTTATGAAATTTTGTACTTTTAAGATTATGGATTCTGTACCTGAAACAAATTAGTAATTGTGTCTTAAGTTATGAATGTATGTCTTCTGTTGTGAAATTTTGTGCATATGAACACAAATTTTGTATCAAAATCAGATTTGAAAAATAAATAAACATATAACATGTGTATGTGTTTTGTGTTGTGATTTCCTGTGTCTTGTGTTATAAAATTATGTACTTTACGAGTATAAATTTTGTACATCGTCATTTTGATCCAGAGTCCACATTGCTATGTATACCTAGTCCATGATATAAATTGCCTTACTATGCATGCTGGCCATTATAATTGAAGTCCAAAATAGTTCACATGCCAATTGGTTAGATCTGAGATAAGTAGGCCAAAGTAGCATATGAACTAAGAACAAAGTATATCTCATTCCAATTCAAAACCTGAGACACCAAAGGGACCAGCAAACACTGCTTTCTACTGTCATAACAACAATAATGATAACAACAACAATAATAATAATCATTAATCAACACAAACAGGAAATACACCCCACAGCTACTACACTACTATAACATCATAACAACTCTTGCCCCGCATGCTGACCCCTCTTCATCTCAAGAATCACCACATCAATACAATGAGCAGCATAAACGCCAAGGATCCAACGGGGGCGAGCCCAGAAGAACCCGAGCTTCCTGGAGACAGTGCCGGGCTGGTTTCCTTAGCTCCTACAGCCGTACTAGGAGCGCCTGCAACCCCAATAGGAGCATCTGCGGTTTTGCTCGGTGGTGAAGCCGAGGGGGAGTGAGCTGCAAAGATTGAGAAATGGATAATGTTATGATTTATGAACTTCGATCTTGGCCCAATAGGAGAAGAATTTCTGGCAATCTCAATGGCTGATAAATTGGCCCAATGTTGAACTAGTATCAGTATAGTGTTATCAGAGTATTTGACCATAAAAATTAAAAAACAGTGTCAGCCTGCTGAGAATTGCTGCTATCATTTCTTGCAATGATGCAGGGATCAGGCATGCTAGGCCCCACTGCTTCCATTGCTCCTTTGACTAGATATGAATCATCTCATGGATCATATGGATTTGAAAAATGAAACAATTACCTCTAAGGCTCTAATGACAAAAGTAATGGACTCTAATTCTGTTCTAATACTATGAAGTAACAATGTTAAAGAAAAATGCTTGAGATACTAGGCTGTGTTTTCTTGAATTCTTCGGTTTTTCTGATCAATCAAGGTCTCTCAATGACCCGAGGTCTCAGTGGGTCTAGACTTTAAGATGATTGGTCGAACCAACAAGCCAGAGTGTAGGGTTAAATGGCAAAACATGTAATATTTGGGACTATGTATAGTATTTTGCTCTGATAACATCAGGTTCACATACAAATCTATGCTTAATGATCTAACATTAACCAGTTTGATTTGATTAACAAAACCAAACTAAAACAAGAAGTCAAATAACAGCATAAAGATTACTGAACAACAATATCCACTTTCACTTTCATCTTTAAGCAAAGTGTCCAACAATTAATGATCCCTTTGAGACCCACAGTTAAGGATAGTTTCATCAAAGAAGATTAAAGAATGAAAACCATTGCTCAAAATGACTCACCGGGAGAAGAAATGGTTCCACTGCTCACTGTATATAATACACAAAAAAAGAACAAAACATCTTAGTATCTTACAAGAAAGATGCAAATAATGAAAAAGGTTTCAACTTTTTAATGAAAACCCCTGATTCCCCTGCATTTTATCAAATCCCAGAAAGTGGCCGGAAAATCTCCGGCGTGTAATAATATACTCACGGCCGCAGTTGCTGACGGAGGGGGCGGAGACATGGCAGGCGGCGGGGAGAGACAAGGCCTTGGTGACATTGAGGACAACTCCCAACTGGGCGCTGTTCTTGAAGCCTTCGCAGAGACACTCGGCGTTGGATTTCAGCACCATTTTCAGCCCGGAGCAGCAGGTGCCTTCCGGCTTCTTCGTCGTGCTCCCGTTGGTCACGAAGGAGAGGCAGTCCGCCAGGTTCAGAACTACGCTGTTGCAGTCCACCGCCGGCGCCGGCGCGGAATGGTGGGCGGAATCCGCGGTGACAGCCCAGAGGGCAAGCAATCCCAGCACTACGGGCCCAAATGCGTTCAAGCCCATAGCCATTTTTGATCGGAAAGGAGAGATTTTGTCGTCGGAATTATAGGCGGAAACAAGTTGGCGTAAGAAACTGTGGTCTATGGAGGTTTTTTGAGTCTTTTAAGGTTTATATATATAATGAAATGAAGAGTGAAGATGGAGTTGGTTTTTTTCTTCTGTTTTTTTTTCGGACTCGGGGCGGGGGATAGAATCGGGTATGATGTTAACGTGGAAGGGACACGTGGTGGGGCTAGGAATTGATGTGCCCTCGTTCCATTGGATCGAGGAATTAGGTTTTGTAATTTGAAAATGTATACTTGAAAATTAAAAATTTATAAGATCACTCCTTCATAGAAAGTAGGATAGCTTTTTGTAATTAAAAAAAAAGTATATTGAGGGTCCATATTGGTTAAATTTCATTCAATGTATAATACGAGAAACGTAAACTGCATTAGAAAGATCATGCGCAACGAATTTAACCTTTAGATATAAGAATCATGCTTTATTTACTCGATCACTCATTTCAATTTTGTATTATAACATTGGATGCTAAAGCATTAGACAAATTAATTTTTGGTTTTGAAACTATAGTAAGAGGTTTATATATAAAACGTACAACTCAATTGGTCCAGCAATTCAAACAACATATACATCTTGTTACATCTAATGATCAATCTTTCGAATAGCTAATTAACACAAATCGATCCTATGGAGAGAATAATTTATTAACTCAACTTGATTTGCAAGAGTCATCTTAACTACTTATCTACACTTATAGAACACGGGACATTAGTTGTTGCAACCATTTAAAGCATTAACCATCGAGAAAATAATTTATTAACTCAACTTAACTTGCAAGAGTTATCTTAACTTGTTTACACTTATAACACTCGTGATATTGTAACCATTTAAAGTATTAATATATTGTGCTAATCAGCTGATAATATTAACCAAACATAAATATGACATAAATCTACACTCTCCTTTGGAATACAAGAGGAGACATATAAGAAAAAACTATAATATATATAAGAAGAACCCATGCTGCTTTTGCTTAGATCCTTCAAATTAAGCATGCAAATAAAGATTAATGATGGAGGAAATGATGACGATGCATGCCATGGGCATATATAAAGTATATAGCTTATTCTTTTACTAGTTTATGTTCAAATTAAGCTTGATTAGCCTCTCTAGTACTATAAAATCAATTTATTACAACTTTTTCTTTTATTTTCAATATAAAAATCGATATATCGAGATATAAATTGAAAAGCTAGTATTAATATGGTATGAAAAAATCAAGAGAATACAAATGAAAAGATATTGTTCTTATTGTTAAAAAAAAAAGCACTTTTTTTTTTTTTACTTGATCTAAATAATGAATTAAAAATGAAAAGAATAAATAGTATAATTGTAAAATTCAACATTAATAATTAATTAATACGTTAAAATTAAATAAGAATACATGTAATGAAAAATGATATTGAGTCTATAAATTAAACTAGGTAGTCTAGGTTAACTCAATTTATTGTGAGTTTATGAGTTTAAGATACGAATAAGATTTGTATAAAATCGTCATATTATAAAATATGTACTTTTTAAGTAACATGTAATACTTTTTATAAATACATAAAAAATTATTATACTTTAATTAAAAAAAATATTATATATCAAATGTGGGACGATCTCATATAAGTTTTGCTCTTAAATATAATTTAACGAAATTAAAATATAATTATATAAAAGTAAAAAATAAAAAATAAAAAGGTATATGGTGGGGACCCCATGAAGGAGTGCTGAGGAATACGTGAAGGAGACATGATTTGATGTGTACGTATGAGTTGTGGCCATATGATTATGGTGTATGGATGATAGCCAATTGGTCATTTTTTTTTTTTTTCGGTGGAGGCTCCAATCCCCAAAACATAATGCTAAATTAATTTAATAATTATATTGTCTATTTTACCTGTTATGTTTACTACGGAGTATTATTAATTAAATAATTTTTTTAATTATTTTGTAGTATTTTAAAATTATTTGTAATTTTTTTTTAATATTATTTTTAATGTAGTTTCTAAATATATAAATTTTAAAAATTAAATTAAAAATAATTCTATCAAACATCATTAACCTAATCAAATACATAAAATTAGACAAAAGGAGTAAAAGAATTCATCATCACAATTTACTTTATGTATCCATCTTCAAAATAAATATGGTGAGAGTTTCTTATGTTTGGAGTTGAAACTCATATTTTATGATCAATTGAATTAGTTAGATGCTTAATAATTGAATTGACATTTTAACATAGTTTCGGTGAAGAAATTCTAACTACAAATTAAAAATAGAGTTAGCTATTATTTCCGGTTAAGATGGCACTTCACTATGCTTGGAAATTTTGGGGGTTTTTAGGATATTTGGACTTTACTTAAATACAAATCACATAAAAGAAATTAATCACACCAAGAAGATCATATATATACAACAAACTTGATTGGAAAAAAGTAGACGAGAATCATGCTTTATCCATTCAATTACTTATTTTGAGGCATTGTTGTGTTTTTAACTATGATCATGGTTACAAAAATCGCGGACGCCTAAACACTAGGCACCAACCGGCTGCCTAGTCGACTGATTATCCATTCTTTTATTTTTTTTAATAAGTTATTTTGTTCAAAACGACGTCGTTTTGAGCGAAATAACCCTAAGTCGTTCAAATCACTCAAAACGACGTCGTTTCTCTGTTGATTTGGAAGTTTGGAACTAATTAAGTTGACACTTTGTGAGTTGTGAATTTGTGAAATTGTGTTTTGATTCTATAAATTTTTATACAATTTAAGATGTTTTTTAGGTTAATATTTTATATTTTAGTATTAACTATTAAAGTATTAAATAGTTTATAATTATCAATTCTTCCCAAAATTTTTAAAAATAAAAAAATTAAAGGCTGCTAGGCGCCCTCCGGACGCTCAGGGAGCGCCTAGCGATTTAATTTTTTAAACACTGAATGTGATAAGTAGTGATTTTGGTGATGACTAATGGGTACAAAAGTAATGGATTGCTCATATTTCATCATGTGTAGACTGTATAATATTTTTTCAAGATAGTGTACTTTGCTAATTTTTGTGGACTATTTGAGTATTTGATTTTTTTTTTTTTGGATAAGGAGAAAAATATGTAGCCAGCCATCACTCGATAGTGTATGCTAAGTAAATTTCGTTCATGTATAATAATCTGTAAATTAAATCACATTTAAAATATAAATTGCACTAGACAGATCTTGTATAATGGCATCGATCTAACTCGTTGTCCTGTAATAATTTGAGTATTTGATTTGAGTCATGAGTCGGGTTTGGATCGGTAGTGATTGGATAGTGTGCTGACATGGACCTTGGGATGCCGTTTAATTTAACTTTATTGGGGTCTACTACATGTACTCGCATATTTTACTCCATCAATTTTACTTTCTAATGTGGCAAGTTCTGATAGACTATTTTTTTCATGTGGATCTCAATACAAGTTTTTACATCAAAGTTTTGTATGTGAGAATTAAATCGATGGTAGAAAATTAGAGTACATAGCATTTTCCAACGTTATTGGGCCAAGATGCCATAACAACACTATTAAACAAGTTAAATGTTTTCACACGGATGAGGGAATGGGCTTTCGGCCCATTCAAATTATTATTATTATTATTATTATTATTATTTATTTATTTCTGAAAGAAATTAGTACTCCGTATTAAGTTGTTTTAGCTCTATAACAAAACTCGGGTATGGCATGAGCTTACGAGCAACTCTCTAATTTTATTTATTTTATTCGTTTGTATGTAACACTCGATGTTATCATCATTTGCAAGATTAATTTGAATTTTATCTTTTAAATAACGTCTGTAATATTTGACTCTTACTTTAAAATACTTAATTGATAATTCTATAATATAATACATATATAAAAGTAAGATTTTGATCCAACTGTTGTATTAGAGTTCACTTTTTAATTACCTTAAAGTGATGGTCTTCAAATGTGCACATCTATGTAAAAGATGATACTACAACCTTAAATAGAATATGTTACAAAATATATTTATTATGGACATTATGTCCTTTTATTATGATTAATTTGTCATTATGTAGTGATTTGTAACCTACATCTCTTTGTACTATAAAAGGTTGTTTTCTTGATAATGCAAAGATAATCTTTTCCTGGTGTTCTCATACTCTCTCTACTTCATATCATAGTCTATTTACATTTTGCATTGTCCCTGCAAATCCACCGGCTAAGAGCTAACGGGCATCAAACATTTAACACGTTATCAGCACGATCCCAATTTTCTCCGGTGAACGGTATTGCTTTTCCCATAGTTGCTATAAACTATCTCATCCGTTGTGCTTTTGTGCTTTGCTTAAGTACCTGTATATGAATTTTTTTTACTGCTTATTTCTCACTATGTTTGTCATTACTATGTGAGGATTTCATATGGAAGAAAAATTCAAAACATGTATGTCTCTATCTGTTTTATGCATCTGTTCAAACATATAATTTACATAATTTGTTTTGTTTTGCTACGTAGATCAATTGCATGATCAATTCAAAATAAATTGGTACTCCGTAGTTTAGTTTTGTTAACAATTACATGGTGTTGTTAAATAAACTTTGAGATATGATTATCCTTTTATTCATATATGTGAAATTTGGGCATAAGATTATTGTTTTACTGGAAATACACATATATGCATAAATAGTATATTTTAATACTGTGATCCTATCTGATATATATATATATATATATATATATATATATATATATATATATATATATATATATATATATATATATATATATATATATATATATGTATGTATGCAGTGATTTGTAAAGAGTGATTTGTTTACTGCTTATACTGTGATCCTATCTTAAATATCCTGATTTCAGTATATATGCTGTGATCCTATCTGATTTCAAATGATTCCCTTTGAGTTTTGTTTACTGCTTTTTTCAAAATCAAATTAAAATAAATAAAAAAATCAAAACTATATACGAACCGTATAATATAGAGTTCCTTTCAATAATAGAGTTTTGTTCTCTCCCTTGAATCTTTGAACCGTATAAAATCAA